ATGTACGTCATACATTAGATGGCATAATGTCATAATTCTCTGCAGAGAAAAAAACTATGTTGTACCATGGTAGAAAACAATTATTTGTTGAAATTACTGACAGTGTTTTGGATGTGCAACCAAACTTGACACAAGACAGTGTACACCTTGATCTTGTGTTCCTGACATACAACAATATTGGAATTCCTATCTTGCCACTCCTGTTGTGGTGCACTCAACCCAGGATATTCTGTAAGTTTCGGGGCCAACTGTTCACTCGTCAAAAGCCTTCAAGCTTTTATGATACCAAAAAAGGCAATATAAATCATTTAGAAGTCATCTAGGGTCAAATAAAAATGATAACCAATGAGAATCTCAACTTCTAGTTAAAGAAATGCATGTCTCAAATCTTTCATAACTCAGATGATGACTTGTGAAGTTTTGAGGATTAACAATATCCAAGAAACTCCTGGCAGTTTTCTGTGGTCTCAATGTCTAAAATTCTGGTCGACTGACTTTTGAGAGCTTGGAAACTAAACTGCACCAGGTTCCCATGTCATATACTAGTAATGTCAATAATTTTGTGACTGAAAAACATTGATACTAGTAAAACACAACAGAACTACATACTTTTCTGTTCAGACACTTTCCTCCTGACTTGCAGCAGTGTATGCTATACACAGACACTAACTCTGTCAGGCAGAAAAGTCTTAAATGAAATATGGCCACACCAATTCAATTTGTTGGTTCTCGGATTTGCCTCCTCATTTTTTTCTGATTTGAAAAAAAAAAAGATTCTGTTCCTGAATCAACTCAAATATGCTCATATTTTGCCCCCAACAGTTGTGGAAAGTCCTTTTTTTCCTACTTGTTACAGTTGTTCCATCTATCAATGCAGTGGTTTGATTAAAAGTTCAAAATCTATTGTTTAGATATTAACCCAGCCTTTTGTGTTGACATCATGGCTCCTATCATAGCATTTGAGGCTATAATAGGATGCCTAGACTTGTTTGAAATTTTTTTTACCCTGTCGCTTCATATTTTTTCTGAACAAAAAAAAAAAAACAAGTACCAACACATTAAATTGCTGTGGCCTAAAATCCTCTTTTCTTCAGACAACTGTCTGACAAAAACCTCTGTTGCTGCAGCAGTGAATGTTCCTCTTCACCCTCTCACCTGTCCCCAACTGTCACGTCTCCACCTGCACAACTGTCACGTCTCCACCTGCACAACTGTCACGTCTCCACCTGCACAACTGTCACGTCTCCACCTGCACAACTGTCACGTCTCCACCTGCCCAGTCTGTACAGGTGCAGACTACCGCACGTCTCTCCCCTTCAACCTCCCATTCCATGCCTGCTGTTGGACTGCACAGGGAAAATAGTCACATCAAGAACAGGGTAAATGATTTCCACTGGACATTCAGTACCAAGGACAGGGAAGTCCGACTTGACTATTTTCTTCAAAGATGAATGCAGCAGGAATATGCTACAGTTTTGAACCCTGGAAGATTAGTCATTGTCTAAAGGGTATCAAAATAAACAAAATATGCTTAGGCCACACCAATTTAATTTCTTGGTTGACGGATTTTTCTAGAAAAATAATGGAGCGGGCGGGCGGAAAAAAAAAAATAAATAAAAACAGGCCTAGGCATCCTATTATGGCCGAAAATGAAGTCAACACACCAGGCTGGTTCAAAATTTGAACAATGAATTTTGAACTTTTAATGATACCACTGCATTGAAAGATGCAATAACTGTAACAACTAGGAAGAAAATGACTGTTTTCAACTGTTCAGGGCAAAATAAGTGCATTTTGCAGTTGATTCTAAATTTTTATTTTTATTTGCAAATCAGAAAAAATGAAGCGGCAAATCCGTTAACCAAGAAATCAAATTGGTGTGGCCTTAGCACATACAAAATGTACCTAGGTCTGCCTCCTGTAAGCATTAGTACTTGAGACTCAAAAAACACTCATGGATGACTGGCAAGGATGTGTGAACTCCCTACATTCTGCTCAGTAGTTGACCAGTGCTATTCTAATTCTTCTTCTTGTCTGCAACTGATCACAGGCTTACAGGAGGATGATTACTAGTAACCAGGCACTACTAGAACTTACATACAGTCAGAAAACAAGCAAAAAAAAAAAAACCTGGGAGGCTACTTAATTAATTACCTGTGTGATCAGACTTTGTTGCCTGGCTTTTGTTGTCCACTATCTTGTGACAGACAGTAGTGTTCCTGGATCTGTTGCTGTAGAGTTATGTTGACTGATGCACTTTTTACTGTCGGTTTGTGTGAGCTTTTTCTTCATCACAGGTGAGCAGGTGTTGTGCTGTACTGTCTCATGTAACATCACATCACCTCTTTTCCTTTCAAGCTCCACAGTAGCAGAGGTTTTACGCTGTATCTTGATAGGTCTCTGTTTTAGAGCTCTCTGTGACTCAAATGTTGCAAAATTGACTTCTGTTTGTTTACATTGCTTTGATTCAGGTGCTGACTTTTGTGTTTTTAACACATTTCTTGGTCCCAGGTGCATATCAGCACCTGCAGGTGTAACCAGGTCAGGACATGTGACAGGCAGGTGGTCCCTAACTCTGTCTGAACAGTTCACCTGAGGAAAACTCATCACCTGTGTTGGACCTACAGAATGACTGTTGACAGGAGAAATGCACACATCAGCATAGATGGTTCCAAACCTGTCTGACTCTGCAGTCTTGTCTCTGTATGCAGAACACACACCTCGACTCCTGCTTGGTTCACTCTTGTTCTGGACCTCACCAATAACCCTACTGGATGTATCAGATTGTCCACAGGTAAGACTATTCTTGT